AAAGTAGCGTTGAGTTCCAAATGTAAATTAAAATAATTTGCCGCCGCGGTTACGGTTCGCAAACGCAAATTTTGGTGATTTCACGTTGTTTTGCAAAGGACGACTAAGAAATGTACAAAGTTTTAAAACGCACGTGCTGGGCTATTGTTCTGCCAATAAGATTTATTGTTTTTCCACGTTTTCGTTGCCGTTTTCGTCGTGGTTTGCTTAAAGTCCCTAATTTGTGTAAGATAAAACGACTCGATTTATCTCGGTATAATTGACAATCTAGTGACGCATTTCCGTTCCCCGCTCAATATGTTTTAACCCGCAGCCTTGCAACTCATCAGTCTCGGTTCTCAATACAATACTTTATTTACCCACGCTACATCTAGGAGTGATAAAACCTCGTTAAAACAAAAAGCATTTAAAAAAATAAATAAATAATAAATAAAATGGAATGGAATAATAAATAAAATGGAATGGAATAATAAATAAAATGCAATAGAAGTTGGGATTGATTATTAAAGTAGCATGGCGGATGTTTAGATCATATTCGTGTGTTGTGTCCTTTCTTCGCGAATATCCATCTCCATCGACTGTAGGACGTGACATCTGGCGACGAGGATTGAAGTTACAGCTGCCCAGACCATGGCGTCAAGAAACATAGACGATTTAACGAATGTGAAACCCTTCGATCCACATGGTGAACCATCAGGCGTGGGAAGGCGATGGCAGCGTTGGTTGAAGAGCTTCTCAGTTTATGCCGATAACAAAGGCTTGCTCATCTAAGCGGATAAAGCGGATAATAAAACTCAGAGGAGAGCTTTACTCCTTCATTCGGCCGGCGAAGCTGTTCAGGAAATTTTCGAAACGTTACCTGACACAGGCGAGGCGAAAGATTACAAAAAAGCGGTGAAAGCTTTGAACAATTATTTCATTGCAAAGGTAAATTTGACATACCAAAATCGCCTGTTTCGCTGCATGGAACAAGAGGATGGCGAAACCGTGGCTCAGTTAGCCTGCAGAGCAGGCGTTCTTGTGGAGTTTGGGCGAAAATTAGGACTTTGGGCTTTCTGTTTTATTTTCCAGACCGCGCGTAAAATGGAGCGAGGCAAACAATTAGAAGGTGGGGGGAGGTTAGGGCTAGGGAAGGTTAGGGCTAGGGGAGGTTAGGGCTAGGGAAAGGAACGCCTGCCAGCAGTACTTGAAAATTTCAATAACCCGTTTGCTCACGAACGGGTGATTCTGATTGGTCCAGTATTTTTTATTGACAGCAGAATGTGACGTCAGTTTGTTATGTATCACATCCAATATGGCGTTTAGCGAAGAAGAGATAGATCTTGCGTTGAACAATTCTTTAGCTACTTTTAATGTCTTAGAAAACTTTGTTTTAAAACAAGAACAGCAAGATGCCATACGTCAACTTTCCAGAAATAAAGATGTGTTGGCGGTCTTACCGACAGGCTTCGGTAAAAGCATTATTTTTAGATTTGGTGTGCGAGTCAAGCAGCTTCTCACGAAGAAACACTGTTGCATGGTTGTCGTTTGCCCTCTGAAAAGCATCGTTGACGACCAGGTTGTCGAGGCCCAAGAAATTGGCTTAAAAGCAACAAGTCTTTGGGACGGTGTCCCAGTAGAAGAACTTGCTAAGTTTGACTTGATCTTTTGGTGTAGGTGGTTTGCACATACGAGCGGCTTTATTCTTCCTCCATGCCGGGCTAGATTTGTTTGGCATATCCAATTGCCACTTATTTGTACTTTTGGGCTTTTCTGGATTTTTGCAT